TTGTTATCCTCACCTACGAACGTGAACAGGTGCTGATGGACTCGTTGGGTCGCCTCTACGGACTGCCGTATTTACATAAAGTGGTCGTCGTGTGGAACTCGCCCAAACCGCCTTTGGATGACTTGCGCTGGCCTGATATAGGTGTGCCTGTTGCTGTGGTGCGAGCCCCACGCAACTCTCTCAACAATCGCTTCCTTCCGTTCGATGTTATTGAAACCGAAGCGGTACTCTCAGTGGATGATGACGCCCATTTGCGGCATGACGAGATTCTGTTCGGCTTTCGTGTGTGGCGAGAGCATCGCGATCGGGTCGTCGGTTTCCCGGGTCGCTACCACGCCTGGGATCTAAGCAGCAATAACATGTGGCACTACAACTCAAACTATAGCTGTGAGCTGAGCATGGTGCTCACGGGCGCCGCCTTCATTCACAAGTACTATATGTTCCTGTACACCTATCACCTGCCGCAGGCCATACGCGACAAGGTCGATGAGTATATGAATTGCGAGGATATCGCCATGAATTTTCTCGTTTCCCATCTCACGCGACGTCCGCCCGTTAAGGTTACCTCGCGCTGGACCTTCCGCTGTCCCGGCTGTCCGGTGTCCCTTAGCGAGGACGATACACATTTTCAGGAGCGGCATAAGTGCATAAATTTCTTTAGCCAGGTCTTTGGCTACACACCATTGCTAAACACGCAATATCGCGCCGACTCCATACTCTTCAAGACGCGAATTCCGCACGACAAGCAGAAATGCTTCAAGTACATCTAGACTCCTGACTCCACAAATCATTTAGCAGCGGGCGTACTTATGCCTAATCCTTTATACTACATTTTAGCTGGTAAGTATCTAGTTAACAAAACAACTGATCAACCGATCAGTTAGTGGCTATAACGTGCGTAATTGTGAGATTATCGAAATGGTTTATGTAAATACATTATATAGCTGCCATCAATATGAAATTAGAATTCATATTTGTATTAGCTTCGGCTAGTCGAACGAACAGAGGTTCCCAAAGAGTTTGTAAGATTTTGTATGTTAAGTTCTGTCCAAGTCAGAGATGACATTATTGTATATACGGTCGAATAAAATATAATTGTTTATTTACGCAGTTGGTTTCGTTGTCATTTGGTTCGATTGGGTAAGGCGTAATTAATATAAAGTTTATCTCTTTATTTGTATATTTTAATTTTCACAAAAATGTTTACTTGTATTAAAATATTGATAATGCTGATTAGTAGTAAATCGATAGATTAGATCAATATACATACACTTGTGTATAAATAAATCAGAATGTTAGAAAAGTTTCCCCGACAGTCGAAGATTGACAATGTTAGCAAATGACTTTTATGCACTTTTTTTGTCGCCTAGGATTTTTCGTTTTTAATAGTTATTTAGCAAGAGCTAATACATGAATTTATTATGCATACAATGTGATATACATTTGTGAGGATATTGCAAAAACGCGCGAGTTTCGAGTTGAGAGCTGAAGAGCGTTCCTTAGCAGAATAGAGTTGAGAAGAAAATTGCTCTTGCTTTGTTGTTTAGTTACATATCACAATACAAACCAACATAAACTAAAAAAAAATTTACAACATAGGCGTAATTTTTACATACTATAATTACATATAAACTATTCCAATTTTGTTATCGACAAAAGGGGAATCTTTTGATTGACGACAGACTTGTGACTGCTGATTGATTGATTGGTTACATTTGGTTACCTAATTGGTTCAATGGTTGGTAGATTGGTAGGATGGCTAGTGCTCCTGCAGGCTGAGCTTAAGCGCCTGCTCGATCATCTCTTGCTCACGCTGGCGCTCTAGCTCGTATTTTTGCTGGTCCTGCTGCGAAAGACGCATGGCCATTGCCAGATCAGAGTCCATGTACCGAAAGCCGCCGTCATCATCATCCTCGGAGACTGGTGAGCCGCTCGCGTTGCCATGGGCTCCAAGAAGCGACTCGTGCAACACACTGTAAACGGAACAGGAAGACACACACAAAGAAGCTGGGGTAAAATGATTGCTAGCAATACGTTGGAAATCGGCTAGGGGACAGTGAGATTGTGTGTTCTACTTGAAGATCTTTTTCATGTAGCTAAGGTCATTCTTGAACTGCGCGCCCGCCGAGGAAGAACGGCTTCGCTGCTGCTGTGGCTCTAGTGGAGGCGGTGCCAGGTGAGAAGTGTGCAAGGGCGAAGGCTTAGGCGAATAGCGCCCATATAGTTGGTTAGGTGAGAGCATAGTGCGCTTATTTAAATAGGAACGGGAATTACTAGCGTTACGTTGCCGTTGCACTTGTTTAACTCAGATGTATAAGTAAAAAATATATGTGAGTTGCTTACCGTTGCAGCTGCTCGTCGTCCTCAGGCAGCAGCTCGGTGCCTACAGCATTTTGACCGCGTAGCACCTCCCAGATGTCCACCTTATCAGTGTCATTGTCTAGGCCACATGCGCCGACTGCGCCGCTTGACTCGGCCAGGCTCTGCTCGATGGCGTACTGCAGCATATCATCTTCGTCCAGCGGTATTTGTCGACGCGAGTCCGCGCCACGGTTGACATAATGACTGGGTATGTCAAAGCAGCGATCGTCCACCAGACATGTAGTGCGGTCTTGTTCCTGAAGTGTGGTCACGTGCTCCACGGGCGTTGTCATGGCGAACACATTGCCGAACGTAATGCAGGCGTTAAGGACATGGAAGAGCGGTATCTCTACCTTGACCGGAAAACCAGAAGGCAGTTGCATTGTAATAAAGTCTTTAAGTTTGGATACATGCGGGCTGGCCATTGTGGACATGAGATCCAGTATGGGAAGCACTTGTTCCTGCAGCCGAATGGGATACTCTTCTGCCAGCCATAGATTGGCCTTAAATCGCTGCACTTTTGTGCTTAAATTCTTTGGCTTGCCAATATCCCGACCCTGCAGATCAACCTCAGCACTAAAGTACTCCTCGGGTGTGATAAGCACATGTGGCGTGCTCGCACCAGAGCCGCAGGCGGAGCTGCTATTGCTCTCAGCTTTAAGAATGGGTGAGGCACGGTCACCATTTTCACTGTAGGCAACAGCAGGAACTGCTTCAACGGGACGAGGTGAATATGTCTATAAATCAGAAATCAGCAATTGCCATTAGATGCCCAAAGGGATGCCTTCACAATCTGTGACTTACGCGTTCTTTGATTGCAGGGACATCCGCTGATGGCACGTAATCCTCGTCGGCAATACCCAACAAACTGTGCAGAGGCGTGCGAGCCGTTTTGTTCTGCAAAAGAGAACAGTCAGGATTAATTTTTTATTATTTGTACTTTTGCTTGAGTTAACCTTGATTTGCTCCTCGTTCAGATGGTCCATTCGCGTCTTTGTGACAAACTCCACGTTGCTAGCGCCATACACCTTACAGTTGTAGCCATTGATAACCTCTGACTTTTCGCTGCGCCAGCCCCAAATGCCAGATTTGTTGCGCTCAAAACTGATCTTTTCCATTTCGATGTTGTTGGTGATGACGGGCGCCGCCAGGCGCGCGCGAACTGTGCCCAACGGGGGCGGTATGGCCACAATATCACCAATATCGCTGCTCATCTGCTCCACCATCACCTCGCGTGTATCGTGATCGATTTCAATCATTGTTGCCGTGTCCTCTATGAAACAAACAAACCGATGCTGGCATTATAAAGTGTACCGTTATTGCATATGTTCGCACTCACTGCCGCCTTTGAATATGTAGGATCTGTTGCCGCGCTGCCAGGTGTTGTTGTCGAAGCCAAGGAGAGTGGTGTCGATGCGCACGTTGGCACCGCGCTTGTACACCTTGTAGATATCACTTGGACAGAGGCGAGACATCAACGGCACCCACGACGTGAACTCCCACTTCATCTCTATGTAGAAGTCAGGTGCGTCCAGCAGATGCTGCAGCAGCTTGGGCACGTGTGTCACACGTTGCACGTGACGCTGCAAGTCGCGGACTTCAATGATGGCGGTCAGTATGTCCACATCGCCGGTACACACAGCCTCCTGCACAACTATAACAACGAAAGAGATAGACGGATGATAAAGAGTTGAAAGGGCAGCTCGGGTATGCGACTTACTTGACCAGCCCGCATGCTCATAGGTCGCATTGCACTTGGCAGCTAAAAGGCACTTGACGCATTGCAAATTTGCTAGACGTACTGCTAGCATTAAAGGTGTGCGGCCGCGCGGATCGATTTTTTCCTTATCAATCTGAAAGTTGAGCTGTTAATGTTGTTCTATTGTTGCAGTCGTCGAGTCATTTGGGGGCACTAATTCAATTAGTAGCGCACACCTGCCTGTGCCTGTCCCCGTCAAAATTCGGTGGGCAATCAGACCAACCAAACCACCCAGCCGACTACAAACCTGTTCCGTCTGCAATTGTTGCTGCAGCTCTTCAACGTTCCCATTCCAGATCTGCCAGTGCAGCGGATATTCTGACTTAACTTCGTCCAAACTCTTCATTCTCTCGATGCGGCGCTGCCGTTGCGTTCTACTAATTGCTAACTAGAGTTGTATCGAATTGTTCGAAAAAGGTTCGATCGAACGACTTTCTAAACTGAACGTACGAACTGAGTCCCTTATTGTCGTTCATTTAGTTCATAATTGCACTCTCACTGTTTCATCAAAACTAACATTTTTCAATACTGTTTTTAACACGACAAATATTAATCGAATGGGAGAGTTAATCGACAGCCCACCCTGCGATGGGCTGTAAATATTCCATTTATGCACGCCAAATGTAAATGTAAAATCATAAATAAAAGTGTCGCAATTTTAAAAGTTGACTTAAAAACAGTGCAACTAAGTAATAAATATTATTGATTAGAAATCTATCGAAACAAATATTGTCAGCTGTTCGTTTAGCGGAGTGCACACACTGGCACACTGTTGTTCTTAATTTTAAGAAAAAGTAATCAAAGATTATAATTCTTAATACTTGAAACTATCATCAAGTAAAGCCAAAGAAACTCTTTTGGTGACAGCCTGGTTAAGTTTACTTACAACTTTGGCAAGGACAGAGTTTTTGGTATTTGAATATATTATATAAAATATAGCCAGAACTAACACTAACCGTGGCCATAAGTAAGTCAAAAGCAATAAGCCATATATATCTGATCAATACTTTTACTTACAAGTACCAAACGTAGTCTTGCAGATCTCAGCAAAGCAAAGGTCATAGAAATATCTAAATATTTAGACTGAAACACAACTTTACACTTTCAGCATTTGCCACGTAGACTGCAACAAAGGCGCCGGTAAGTGTCGCATACCATATCAACTCAATTAGCGTTAATGGAAGCATTAACAAGTGCATATAAAATGTACCATTCAAATTCAATTCAAGTTAAAGTAAAATAAACGCCTGTGAAAAAGTCACAGAGCGTACATGATCAGCTGGCCGGCGTAAGACACAGAGTAACAAAGAGAGAGAGAGAGAGAGAGAGCGGGAAAAACTTGCGTTCATTCGCGTTCATAGCTGTGCATTTGTTTTGTTTTGGGGCCAGTCAGTCGCATAAGGCCTAACGCACAGGCCTCAACGTGTTGCCTTTCAGTTTGTTAGTGTTGAAAAATTGTTTGAGAATCGGTCAAATCATATCAATTACCTAATTGCCTAATTATTCAATTGCTTGCATTTCGTTTTGTCTGCACTCTCTCCACTCTCCACTCTCCATTAATCGTTTGCTAACCGTGTTGTTTTTTGTTAATCCAAACTTTCTAATTAAATGCCTTGTTCATTTTCTTCTTCTTCTTGTTGTTGTTGCAGTTATGCTCTTTGCGCGTAGGCGGCATTTCTTCAAGAGGTGAATTCTAGTGTTTTGTATATAATTAACGCGTAATTAACATACATCAAATTATTTTGTTTTCAAGAAATTCGCTTCCTTAAGGCTGCATAAGTCATAACTGTATTAAGTTTATTTAAATGTGTGTAGTCTGTTGCTGATAACGGGATCGGTCGGTCGGCGATTCATATTCGTTATCATGCTCATTATCTTTATGTGTTCACCAAATAATACGATACATCACGCACTGCTGTTTAACTAAACGTAATAATCATTTAAAGCCGCCTTCTGCCCAATCAGCAACAGGGTACAAAGTTTTTTCCAGTGCATTTGTCAATTGTTTTTGTTTTCCTTTTGGCCTGGGTCACTTCGTAGTTGGATGCTAGCACGGGCTTTTGCATGCTTTAATTTATATAATTTGTATGTATGATAAGCTAATAATCAAGTAACTTTGTTTATTCTCTTCCCTATTTTCGGCTAGACGTTTAGTACGTTTGTAAAAGACAAATCCGTGAATCTCACACAGAATAACAAATATTTTATACAGCAAAAAGAAAACCAAAACCAAGCCCTATTTTTTATACTGCTCTGCTAAAATTAACCAAAGGCTCGATCGTACAATCATACAAATTTGAAATAATCATAATCGCGCCAACTTCTCGTCAGCAGCCGCATTGCGCACAATGTACGAGCTTCATAGTTGTTTAAATTTAGTTTTCTATGCAACGATCATTCCCGGAACGATCCTAATTAGTTGGCTGACTGGGCTGTAAGTATTTATGCTCGATCGCAACGATCCCTACATTAATCAAAATAACATATATACATACGTATATGTATATATATATATATATATATATATATATATATATATATATATATATATATATGTGTGTGTGTGTTTGAATAATATATAAAATATATCTAAATTAAATGAATGTAGTTTTTTGTTTGATTTTATATGCTGCATATATATTTTTTGTTATTATTTTCATTTAATTTGCAATTCTAAAGAAGTTTTTTGCATCGTGGCATAAATATTTGGCATCTCGCTCGGGATCCTTGAGATGACAAGCCTCCGTTGTGCTCCGTTTCAGCTCCTCTAGTTGCCGTATCAGAAAGTTGACAAGAATTCCACTCGAATCAAATTTATATTTGTATTTAATTGAAATCATTTTGTGTGTAGTTTCTCTTTTTTTGTAGTTCTTATGTTTAAGTACGCTTTATAATGATTCTGCACAGGACAAACAATTAATTTGTAAACAATGCGATTACTCCTCAGAGTTGGCCTGCCCTGTCTGGTGATAGCCCTGCTGCTGTTCCTCGCCTTCTTCGTACTGCTGCCTCTGGCTTTTCGGTCCTCCGTGACACTGCAGCGGGGCATACTTTTCCTCACATTTAGTAAGTAGTTCGGCTTAGTTCCCAACGAGGTGCGCTCTAACACGAAATGTTTCTTGAAGTTACCTACCCGAAAGGACTTGACCTCACTAAACCGGATAGCGTTGGACTTTATGCCACACGCAACTTCTATATCACCGTTAAGGATCATGACGAAGACGATGACGGCGTACGCATTGGTGTCTGGCACGTCCTGCCCAAGAACACAGTGCGCCGATTTCGGCGAGAGCTGCATGTGGAGACGGCCTATGAGGAGGATGCGGAATCAGCTGCGTCGCACGACCAGTTGTCCCTGCCCAGCAACATCGCCGACAACAATGAGGAGCTAGAGCGATTGGCACCTGCGCTGCGAGCTGAATTCCCAGTAATTGTGCCTGAGAATGAACAGCTATTTTATGAGCGCTTACTACGCGTGCCTGGCGGCTGCGTGGTCCTCTATTTGCATGGCAACACAGCTACCAGGGGCAGCGGTCATCGTTCCGAGGTGTACAAGCTGCTACGGCAACTGAACTATCACGTCTTTTCCTTTGACTATCGCGGTTACGCGGACTCGGATCCTGTGCCGCCCACAGAGGACGGTGTGGTGCGTGATGCAATGATGGTTTTTGAATACATTGCGAATTTGACATCAAATCCGATTTTCATATGGGGCCATTCCCTCGGCACTGGTGTGGCCACCCACATGTGCGCCAAGCTGGCGAGTTTAAAGGAGCGCGGTCCGCGCGGCGTCATACTGGAAAGTCCATTTACAAACATTCGTGACGAGATTCGGCTGCATCCGTTCTCGCGACCCTTCCGACATCTGCCCTGGTATGACTTTACGATCTCGGAGCCAATGTACAGTAACAAACTGCGCTTTGAGTCGGACAAGCATGTGGCCGAGTTTCATCAACCCATCATGATCGTGCACGCTGAGGACGATGTTGTGGTGCCTTTTCATCTGGGCTACCGACTCTACCGAATTGCACTTGATAAGCGCAGTCGCTCCTGGGGACCGGTTGAGTTTCATCGTTTTGATGGGAGTCATGGCTACGGCCACAAGTATTTATGTCGGGCTCCGGAGATGCCGAGACTGGTGCAAAACTTCCTGGAGACGTATCGCGATGCAGTCTACTAGACAAGGATTCCTTGCTGGAATGTAGATCGTAAATTATTTATAAAAGCAACGGAGTATTTAAATTAAATTTTATACCGCAACATGTAACAATATTAATCGCACGGTGCATACAAATTAAAATAGTCATTTATAGGATACAAAAGTGCTGGGCTTTTATTTATAGTTACAAGTTTTTCGTAGTCGAGGTCAGTGTGTGCACTCTGTAATTGTTTTTATAAGTTCGATCTATCGATATATCACTGCGAAGTCAATTTATCGCAATCTTATTTAACATAGAAAATTCGTTTTTCGATAGCGATACCCTGTTATGCCGCTGTTCAATAACACATGTGTGTTATTTGGATCTAGTTAGCAGCTGTTGAATGCTAATTATTCTTTCAAACTAGTAAAATACTATATTTTTTTAAAATTTATATTTTGAGTATTTTATAGCAGTTTAAGGCAATATGCAACATTAACAGTCTTGGTTACAATACCTAAAAACTGGTAACGGCACATTTACTAAGAACTCACTGTTAATACATTTTAGAAAATGTTAATGCTTGGGCGCTGTTAAACCAGGGCTGCCCTGGTACATTACTTTTTACATCAGATCAAATATGGCGCTGGTGTGTTGTTGTCGCTGTCGCAATTTGGCCAAAATTAATTCGAATTAATCGCGTCGTGCACAAAAAGTGACAAAACCGCAATCGCAAGGCGAACAGAAGCAGTATTAATCTTTGCAAAACGCCCGTGCAAAGTTATTTTTAAAACTGCATCGAAAAAAAAACGGAGTTGCAGTATAAAACGAAGTAGCCGAAAAAATTGTGTCTCTACTCCTTGAAAAGGAGTTTAGTTTTTCGCTCTCCGTTAATGTGTGTGCGTGTGTGTGTGTGTGTTTGTTTGTGTAAGTGCTGTTCGAGTAAAGTGCTGCCGAAAACTAAATAAATTGAATTAAAATTGCGGCTTCTTTCCTGTTGTAACGAAACAAAATAATTTTACTGAAGAAACCCTGGAAAAACACGCAGCAAGCACTTTTATCGGCGATTAGTTGTGCTGTCTTTGCCCGCCGCCACTCGATTTGAGTGTGTGCGTGTGCGTGCTTGCAACAGCAGGAAAAAGGGAGTAGCTGCCAGGCAGCGGACACTAACACCAACGCATTTTCACTGTGGAATTAACGAAAATGATGTGGTAAGTTTTTGTTTTAAATTTATTTATAATCTGTGTCTGCGGAGATCTAGAGCAGAATTTAGCCCTGTCGACGGCCGTTGCATTTTCTGCGCATGTTTTTGCCCACGACTTCCGCTTTGTGCTCCCTTTTTAGTTCGGCGGCTGCTGTGGCAGCGACGTCGATAGCTGCTGCTTCACTTCTGCTCCCCTTTTTGCTTATTCTTTCACACAACACGCCCTTTTTCGCATGCGGCTGTGAGTGTGTGCATAGCCGTATAATAATGATGCCTTTTGGGTAAATAATTTAAATTTGCGTATTTCCCATTTTCTACCTACTCATTGGGCGAATGGAGACTTTAACAGCTGTCGCGTCTGCAGCGGCTAAACCAGTTTTTGCATTCATTTTATATTTTGTGTTTGTGTGCGCGTGTGTGTGTGTGTTAGATTTGTCCTGCGCCAGCTTTAATTGTTTTTGTGCAATTCCCCCGACGGCTCCACCGCGTTGGCAGCCTTCCTCTTTTGTTGTTCTCGTTTTTGGTGCTTGTTTTTGTGTTGCTGGGCGCTCGCTCTTATATTGATATGCTCTTTCTCTCTCTCTCTCTCTCCCGTGCACTACTCTCCAATTCCTTTTGAATGTTGCCAAACAAACAAATATCCAGCGTTGCCAATTTGAGAGTGAATGTAAGAGGAAAGTGGAGAGAGGCGAGAGCCTTATAAAGAAGAGAGCAAGGCGACGCGGGTGGGGCTATTGATATTTATACTTCTCTTTTATCTTTATCGTGTTTGTTTGAACTTTAATTTATGCGAGCCAAAGTGGGGCTTGCATTCTCCTCTTTGCAACATTTAAATGTCAATGCACCGCACAGACACGATCCGGGCTCCCTCAGATATCTCTCTCTCTCTTTTCCCTTCCTTCTGCCACCCACCGAATGACAGGCAAGTTGCATCACTGGAGTCGCCACATGACTCACTCTTTTATTTTTTGTTCGTTCGCTGCCAAATGAAGCGGGCCAAAGACCCGCAGCTCTCTCGCATACACACACACACACCTATACAGTGATGGACTAAAACAAAATAGCCAAACATCAAAACCAGTTCAGAAACAAAAACATAAAACATACAGTAAGTAAATCAAAGTACGCAATTTGTTATTGACGCTTGCAAATTTGAATTTATTCGTGCTGCCAGATTTCGCGTTTCAAAAATACTTTTCTGTTGTTTTGTTGCTGTAATTGCTTGCCAGTGTTGCATAGCGGCTCCTGCTAACAAACGGCTGCCCTTATTTTTTGTGAATAATTTATGGTATAAACAAGTTAAACAACGTTGCCCACCCAGTCATCGGCAGCAGCAGCAGCAGCTGCTGCTATTGGAGTCACGCAACTACTAGATAAGATAAGAACCAAATCGAAATGCATATGTGTGCGGTTTGTACTTCTCTTTTTTATTTTTTTTATCAGCCATCCGTCCCCCTTTCGGTATGTTTGCTCCCTATTTACGCATCTCCTCGTAGTTGTGTTCACTTTCAGTTCGCTTTTCGGCTTTTTTAACGATGACTAAAGCTTTGAATAAAACAAATCTAAGAAATCGCCACAAGTTTTCCAAGTATTCGTGTCTTCTCCTTGTGGTTTATCCCCGGTTTTATTTCTGTTCTGTTTATGTGTTCGTAGCGGCGACTGCTCTGAATCATAAACTTGCCCCAACTTGTTTTGCTTTGTGACTAAACTTTAACGCGTGTCATAGCAGCCAGAATGCAGATCAATGCACTGAACTTTGACTGTCGCGCAAATGTATTCAAGTTTCTCGCTTTGCTCGCCAGTGTGACCCTGCTCCCACGCAGCATTCAATAAAACTACATTTCCGTTTGTTTGCCTACTTGTTTCTCGCTGAGGCCTCACAATGCGGGTTAGAAAAAAAAGCCAGCCTCTTTATTTTAATCTGCCTGGCCTGTATAACTGGGTGGTCAGATGCTCTGTTAGTGCTGGTTCCTGCCGTTTGTCGATAGATGATCATATTCACACTTTTGTCGAATGACTTTATTAATGCAACCGCAATATAGGAAAAACTGCATAGCTATTTCCCTTAAACTGTAAACAATGTATACTTATAATCAATTTTATGGTGCGCCATCGTCAACTGCATTATTCATTGGAATTCATGAGTCTTCTTGTTCGTCTCTGGCCATCGGATGCATGAAACGTGTTTTGATTTTTATGGTAGCTCCTCATACCTTATATGACTCTTAACTACATACATACAATATCAGCTAAATAATTGCTCGCTGCCTGAATTTGTTTATTTAATAATTTGTTTATTGTTGATTTGTTTTGGTCTTACTGAAGGAAAGGGGGTTTCCTTCTTGTATTTCTTTTGCAATTTAAACGTTAGCTGGTATTTATATATAGGTTTTCCATGTGGAATGTCAGCTCAGATATTTTTTTGGCAGCAATTAGCTAATGTTTCAGATAATCCCGTTTCGATTTGAGTATTTCTTCGCCGAACAAAGCAATAGCTCCACAGCAAGCGCAATTCTGCTGTCTGTGAAGTATCGGAAAAAAAGCTGTTTCCTCCATAATGCGCATTAACTGCAGAGGAAAGCATCGTTGATTATGCACTATGCACATGAAATGCGCCGGGCCTGAGAGTGTATAATATATTCATATGCGTGATAAATATACCGCTCATATGGCATAAATTGTAGATACAAATATACGAACTGCACAGATAAGCAGAACGGAGAATGAAATTCGCTTAAGTGGCAGCTTTTCTCGCGTTTCTTTCCACTGTCTTGGCTGTTATAGCCACGGCTTTGGATTGGAGGCCATTGCATTGGCACATGATATGAACAAAATTATCACTCACAATCCTAAGCAACAGACACAGAATCAAACACGCGCCTAAATGCGGAAAAATCCAAAATGAATGCCGTGAAATACGAGTTAAGAAAAGGCAGCCAACTCCGCTCGCTGAGCAATGCACTTGGCGACATTCAGCAGGCATATGCAATGCCCTACAAATAGTTTTGTCAGCTTTATTCGATTAGTATAGGCATTTAAAGCTAATTAAAGCATGTATGTGCTATGAGAGGTACCTTGATGGAAATGTTCAAAAAGCTAAAGGAAATCTTCACTCTCTACTCTGTTTGTTTTTAGAGCTTTTTCTCTAGTTATAATATATATATACTTTTGTGATTTGTTACCTTTTTCCAGTTCAAAACGAATATGTTTTAAAATTGTTACGGTCAAGAGCTCGGCAGAGCAAGCGTTTCTTTTCAAATACCTGTTGTGTTCCATTTATTTCATAAATGTGTTTATCTACATACATATGTAGTATGCAACTCCGCCTTAAACAAGTTATATTTAAAGCAATTGGCGCGCCATTAAACCATTTTTTACGGCCTAGAAATTTTACCACAACAAGCAGACGCTAACATAGACACATTTTCCAAAGTTTCTGCTCTGTTCCGGCTGATTCTTTTACTAAATTACCGCCTCATCTCTTGGTGGTTTTTTTTTCTACTAAGTTTACGGTCTAACGCTCGGCTATTCGCAGCCGCAGCACTCAGATATCTTGCAAGTTTTAGTTGAATTATAACAATAATTATATATTTATATAAATTATAAAATTTCAAGTAAGAATCAAATAATCAACGTGGTTTGGAATTCATATTCTCGCGTCTCCCGCTCGGCATACGGTCAGTCGAAACGGGAAGAGCCGCATACGCTGATTAAATAAAAAACTTGAAGTGGCAAAAAGTATTAAATTGAACTGCCACAGTGAGCAAAGTTGATACAAAGTCAATAGCTCTAGGGTTCCTGTACCTCCTCCCCATAGTCCCCACTCCGTCTCCGCGCTGACTATGCTCAAAGAGGAATTGCAAGCACTTGAAGTGCTTCCGCTCGGTCTGCGACTGCGACTGCGACTGCGACTGGAATCAGACATTTTACAGCCAAGCCAGCGGGTTGCTTTTTGTTTTTCCCAACGAAAAGGTGACGGGCAAACTTTTCTTTCTTTTCGTTTTGATTGCATAGAAATACTTCTGCTCTTGGTTGGCGACTCTTGGTGCAACGTTGCCCAGGTGCTAGGATTTTTGGGCATGATTTTCGCCCCAATATCTAAGAGAAACATTAAAAAATGCTTGTATTATATTGGAAGTCGTTCAAAAATATACAATTAACAGCAATGAATTAGTTAAATGGTGGGAAATAGCTTTAAATGAATCGACTTATTGTTTCGTTACTGGGTATTTGACATTCGTGCAGGCTGTTATTCGTTGTCCGTTATGGTTATTGTTGTTATTTTGCGCTAAATTGATGTTTGTAGCTGCTGCACATTTCCCTACTTACCCTCTCTTTCTAGGTGCCAGCTGATTATATTATGATTATGATTATGATATGTCCGCTTCTCACTTGAACTTTGTGGCTTGAACTGGAATCAACTCCAGCGGCTTAGGAGTGGCAGTTCGGCTGAGGGAAAAGTCTAGGCCGAACCCCCTTTGTCTTGTGTGTAATGCATCAATAGATATTTTTCGTATTTTGTTGCGCCCTATTTCATTTCATTTTTAATATTTGTTACGCATTATATAATATTTATCCAAATTTTGTCGGTTCGCTTCATTAAATAGATGCGCTGAGGCACAATGACAACTACAACAGCTCAAAAAATGTTTACAATCGATATTTTTGGGTCGATTGATTTTAGATTCGTCTTGGGTCGATATGGTTGCGCCCTGCCTAGCCTAATAATGCCCACAGTTTCAGGACAAATGCAAACAAAGTTCAGACTGGATTGCAACAAATTAATTTCTTGTAGATGCAAACATAGTTTATTAGCAGCTAAGCTGAGAAGCCGTGAGAAGCCATGGTAAAATGCAAAAGGCTTGACGCTTGGCTGCTGATTTTGATATGCCTGGGAGTCTTTTAGTCTTCTGAATGATTCGCATTATGGATTTGGGCAAAAGTTGATGTGGTAAACAGCTTGCACAACACATTTAAAAACCGCACAATGCTGAAGTCAAAGCCAGGAGAGCGACCCAAATTCAGTCGCAATCCAAACTAAAGCATACTTTTGCCCAACCCGAGAGAGTAGAGACAGACAGACAAATGCAAAGGTGACTGCCTGTGCCGCTTGGAAAACCCGTTTGCGATCTGCTTGACCATATCAACTGCGCCGAAGCTGTCTTGGCTAGATTGAGCTCCAACGCGAGTGCTAAAAAGCCGAAAACAAAGAAGTTGTGTTGGCTTGGATTGGCAGACTAAAAGATGATTATGAACCTAAGCACGGATTACTCTGCTTGGCATACTATTGGAGACGGATGATGTTAGAGGTGGAATTGCAAGTTGCCTTAATGTGTCAGTGTTTGCTTTTGAAGCTGTCAAATCAACAATCCAACGAGTCACGCGAACAAGCACGACACAATACAAATGGGGGGAAATTTCCATGTGCAATGCGGCACATTAATTTGTTATTGTTTTGAGTGCAAACATTTGGTGTCCTTTGCAAAGCAGAAAACGGAAAACTGGGACTGGTATCGGAACAGGGTTGAAATTGTGGCATGCCAACTGACATCATTCCAAACGCCACGTAGGAGTCATGAAAATTCCTGGAAATGGTTTTTTTTCTGTCGACAGAATGACAAAAACGTGTCTTATTCCCGGCTAGAGATGGGAGCACGGTATTTGGAGCTCGCAACTGATAACCCCTAAGCCGGATGCCGCATGTATTGCCTTCGGGTCAGGAGTGTAAAACAAACCGTCTGCATGTCTGCATGTCTGCTTTCGATCGGTTTGGCTTACTTGCCACCCCCAATGGCAGAAAGTAACGACTGGCTTTAAGGGGTGTTTGTAGAAGCCCTTTCCCGAAATTTACTTTTTAACTGCCTACGAGTCGAGGGAGGATCTAGCCTGGCAAAAGCAAGGAAGCAAAATAAGCAGAACACGTGCCTCTGAGCCGCTTAACGCTCAACGAACTTTTAATGGGTTTGTCCAATGTGTTTGGTTAGCCAACAATGTAATTATATTCGTGAAAATTGACTCGTCAAATGTTATCATATTTCCTACAAGTGTAAGTGGCAATTGCTTCAATTTGATTATTGCTTGAATCCGAGATTTCTCTCACCAGAACGAAATGTATATAGTCCACACGAGTAAGTCGAAAACAAAGAACAAAAAACAATCACTTACAGACTGCGAATGAGCTTACAGGACAGAAGTAGTTGATAATTACATCGCAAATGTGGTCGCTTTGATAAACTATACTCAATGAATTTTGCGCACTTTGGGCACTTCCGGCCACAAAGCGGACGTTGGAGTAACGAGCCCGCATAACGATTGCGAAGGCGCGCTAAGGGCAGCATATTAGCTAACTATGACGCAAACAATGCTCTATGCGGAGGGGACGCGTCCTACAAAACTAGGTCAAAAACCTTTTTTGAGGAGCGTGACACAAATTTCGCGTAGCTCTGGCTGCGCTTATACATTGCACGGCCCCGAAGCGATTCGTTGGTTTTGACTAGTTAGGTCTTTAGAATTATGTATTGAGCGTATTCATTAGACAAGGGACGCCGCTTGCATCTCTCATGCAAATGAGAGAATAGATATCTGTTGTCTTCATTATTGTCGCCACATTTTATAGAGTTTTTGTCGCGTTTAAAAGAAAGAAAAAGTAAAAAAGCTATGGAACACAGAAGCCGCATTGTCTATCGACAGTTATATTTATATTTAGTCTCTGCCGTTCTTCGTTGTTTTCTGCAGCTACTTTCATTAGCTGTCATTCGACGGTTAGTTTAGCTAATTGATGGGGCTAGCTATAATCTCAAGGTCTCTTTTCACCTATTTATTAGTTAGGCTCAGGCATAAGACTGTGTGTATGGACCTCTCTTCTTTAAAAAGTGTCCTACATCTAACCGGCATATTCTGTTTTAATACATTTACAGATATCATAAATATAATTAACAAGAAAAAGCGAGGAGACGAGCAGCACCTGGTGGAAGCCAAGCGAAGCACAACTAACCCCCCGCTCCATACATCAAAAGTCCGCCCGGTTTTCCGCTTAAGCAACAGAAACAGTATCAAAAACAAACAAAAACGAAATGACGTAAGTGCCACATCGAATTTCAAGTTTGATTTCATCTTATGTATATTTATGTATGTATATATTTAAAGATATATTACATTGTCGCAAAGTTATTGTAATTTATCAGTTGCCACGACATTGGAACGTTGCGTATTCGTTTGACTTCAGTCAAGGACATTTCAATTATGACGCCCGCCACTCTTGCTGGCATTCTAATTCTTTCTTGGTTAACCCAATTGACGATATTGATGCTGCTAGCGACTTGTCGATCGACATGTGTCCAACTAGTTCGGATACAATTTGACTTCGGAATACCTGCCCACATTAAAACTACCAAAAGTTTATAGGTCAGCGAAACGATGTGGGAAACAGCCCTTAGAGGCCTGGAGTTGTCTTTCTTAATGCCCATAATTTGTTTAGCTATATGACGTTTACGCGACCGGGGAGTGGCACATCCGTCGGCTTCCTGCCAAATCGGACTGTGTGCTTAGTCAGGGCATTTGCCCGCGTTCTGCTTGATAACTGATTCATAAGCGAAAAACTGAGTCAATTTTGGGGCTTATTTTCTGGGTGTGTCATCATTTATTGCCGTTGCCGTTGCCGTGTAGTCTCCGTGGAAATTCGGCACGCTTTTTAAACTGAGCACTCAGCTTTTGGCTCAGCTCTGTTTGTCCAGTTTGGCTTAGCCCATTACAGTACACGCTCCGCAGTGGAATTTGCAATTAAAGGCGAGGTATGCCCCAGAAGTAGAATATAGCAAACTAGAGTTTCTCGCGTGGAACTCTCCCAATGGTGTACTGGGAACATTACTGTGCAGCTCTTGAAAGTTCGGGGTTACTTAAATTGTTTAATTGATTTGAAGTGCACAACAGATCTTCCTAAAGCCCTTGAATTCCGGTCTAATTGCCACGCATTCACTCAGCCAGTGCATTTTTATCTATTAGTCGAGTAATGCGTCCAAAATAGAAACAGTTCAAGAGCGACGTTCAACATAGTGAGTCGCATTGCTGAATCATTTGCTTATACTTTTTGAAAAAGTTGAATAATAAATGCGGAAAAGTTGAACATCGCAGGAACAGGTAACTCGGTAGCTCTTCGAATCGAATTCGAGACTAACTCAAATCTGATTGATGCTGGAGGATTGGAGAAGTATTGAATGATTCCAGCAAGAGTTTAGACTCTTTCAATTGCTGCTCGCTCGGACTGCCAGATCTCCCCTCTCTCCTATATTTGTTGCCCTGCTCGCCGCGTAGGGCTTTTAGAAACTAATAAAGACGCTATAGCCGAAAAATTGCCAAATCATTTAAGGCACGGCTTGATCTATAGAGTGTTAAATTCGAGTACGGTACGAGTTGTGGCCTGCCAGGCCTAGCCCGTTTTACAAAGCCATTAAGCCGCAGAATAATCGTGGCTCAAATCATACAAAAATCACACACTGAGCTTTAAAGACCAGACGCGCGCATTATAACGAGCTCTAAGAGCAACAACATTCTAAATAGATAAATACCATGTTAATTGGAAATGTACGCTTAAGAATTGTAGTAGAACAAAAAATTCAAACTGATTCTGTTACTCAACCGCCGGCAGCTCTACAGCTCGGCAGCGAGACAGACTGTATTTATATGAATTTTTCATGGCATGCCACAAGCTGTGCATTCCCCTGTCCTCCTGCCAACTTGCTTCCTACTTACTGCTATGCCGCCTCAACAAAACAGCTGAATACAAAAAAAAAAAAAAAAAAAAAAAAAAAAAAAAAATGAAAGAACTTTATAGTCGCTCGGGGGGAAATATAAATTATTGAGCTCGTTTCTTAAGTAATTATCGCAGAGAGAAGGACGGACTGATCTACTGACTGAGCGACTAGACTATCTGACAGAATGGACAGCTGGGCTAGGGAGGGGGGCTGTCTACAGCTGAGCTTAAGCTGCGATGTGAGCGGCTTTTTAATTGCATCGTCAAGTGGGAACCGAATAATACCGAAGAGAAGAGCAGACAATCTTAAGGGATCTATGGGTCGGCTAGACTACGGATGGATCTCAGTAGCACATCTCATTATTTTATTGTCTGGAAGTGTAATTACACAGACTCTCGGCCGTGAACGGCGATCGTCGCTCTCGCTCTCGTTGTCTGCTCTTTTCTTGTTGCTCTTTTGTCTTCGGCTCACCGCGAGTCGAGTGGCTGTTCTGTGAGTGGCTTGGCAAACTCCATGCTCTCCGTTGCTCTCTCTCTTTCTGGGGCCAAGTTCAGGCCGAGACTTGTTTGGCGCGTTCAGTCTCAATTGAGGTTCGATTACGATCAGCCACAAGCAGCAGCCACGGCTGCACATACGATAGTTTGTGAACGAAGCGAACCTAGACAAACATCAATTCCATTTATTTATTGAGTGCTGTGATCGTGTGACCGAACGCTTGTGCGAGGAACCGCGTTTGTGTGTGTAGGGCTGCCTCTGCAAATGTTTGCTATTACTTAATGGCCATGAAGAAACTTTATGCTAAAACCTCGTTTACGAACAAGAAGTCCAATGCTAGTGTCGCCGTAGCTGGGCCAATTCTGGCCTATCATCAGCCCGCCAATGCAAAGCTGGCCATGTGCGAGTTCCAGGCGAACGGGGAACAACATGATGCCGATCTGCTGATCAAGCGCAGCCAAAGTCTTTACAACAAGGCATCGCCCAAGGGCCGAAGTCTGCCGGCGGCAAGCAGGGATTACTACAGCGTTAGGGAGCTGCAGGAGCTGGATCTACTGGACTATCGCCATCCCATGTACCATCATTACCAGCAGGATCTGTTGTTGCGCCAGCGCAGTGCCACGGCCTATCATGAGCATGAGCAACTGGTCTTGCAGTTGCCCATGGCCCAGGGCACGCCCGCGCCCACGCCCATCTATGAGGCGCCCACATGGACACAATCGCTAGTCAATGACCAGTCCTTGTACGTACCGACGGGCCAAGATGTTGGTTCAATGCACAGCAGACATGTCGATGCATCATTATCATCAACATCAACATCAACATCAACATCATTATCCACCGCGACCACAAACTCTATCTTGATAGCTAGCCCAGCCTCTCCCACAGTATCTGCCTCTGCCCCTGCCCCTGCCCTTGAGCCTGCCTCCACTTTGTCCACATCGACTGCTATATTTTCTACTTTACGTAAGTGCGTAGCTCTGCCCCAGTCCCCGCACCCGTCCCAGACTCGTTCAGTGACCAACCCGATATCAGCTAACGCTGACCCAGCTTCCACTTCCAATTGCTCCGCTGTCCCTGTTTTTGCTCCGTCCAGACTGACCAGCTCTATGTCGTTCTCAATTAGAGCGCCACGTTCAACAACAACAACAGCCGCAAATCAGCATCTCTATAGCAACATTCATCATTATTTGCTACTGCAACAACAAAACAACCAAACACAACAACAGCAACAACAGCAACAACAACAACAACAGCAACAACAACAACAACAGCAGCAACAGCAACACGTACAACGCATCCCTCAACGTTGCCATAATTCGGTCAAATATAAATTAATTGGGGGCCCAACAAGTTTAACGTATGTTTTTCTTCTTTTCATATTATATTTCTTTCTTCTCTCAGATCGGTTTTTCAATTTGAACGTCCTTTTTCTGCAGGTCACAGATCTTGAAACGTGATCCAATTGTTTCTGAATATTTTCCATTACATATTTCCCTTTCCCATCTCGTATCGTATCACAGGCAAAGTTTAGATTTCCTGCGTATATCCCAGGTTAAATTTGGATCGGTCGCTGGCAGAGGGCTTCCCCGTGTCGACCTGCTACCAATGTGCTCGCAACTGTATATAATTGAACGTAAATTAAAACCTATAAAGAAAATTGCTTTCGTGCTGGAAATGTGCATAAAACTTAACGCACGAATTAATCCACAACTCGAGCTCAAAACGAAATATAAACACAAAATTTCACCTGCGTTCGCCGTAATGAAGTCTTTAAACGACCCACATGAATGGAATGTAATTTGCATTAATCTCATTACCTGACCACATGCTCATTTCCAACCACTGAGTAAACCTCCCACTTTCTTGCTGTTCATTTGAAGCGAAGCACTCGGTGCCGGAGCCTGTAAATCGTTTGGGAATGCCAGCCAGAACGAGAGAGTAAGATCATCCGCGTCTCGTCCCTGTTGTAGTATCTAACAAATTACACGTATCTCATAGATAAACTTCACTTTCGTTCCACGAAACACATCATCGTATGCCGTAAATGACCAACTACCCCAACACAGCACGTTTGTTATATAAGGCCGCCCAGCTGTGGACTTGCTTCTCGGCCATTTTCCTCACTTCCCTCGCGCACATAGCGCTAGATATCGGGCTCCATTTAAGTGCAAAACCAGTCAACTTTTAGACAGGCCAAGTTTTGCTGCCTGCCAGAATACTGAAGTCAGCTCTAGACAGAGCAAAAAGACGGCGATCGTAACTCGTTTTTTCTTTTTTTTATTTTGTTTTGTCTCTGTTGGGGCTGTCATTAACTCTTGCAGCTCGTTGCAGCGACTGAGATCCAAGTTGTTGTCATCAACGTCATGCTTGCAGCATATTTGAAACTCTTCTATTGCATCGTGTTTAGTTTTCCCGGTTTAATTGTCAATGCGCTGCAAAAAATATGTTAAAGGTTGCGTAAAAGTTCATTAGAACTATTTAATCGGCGGCGGGGCAATGACAACTGCGTGACAGGTGTGCAGTTTTCTCAGGGGGAATACGTTCTTTACAATGAACGCCAAGCGCTTCCTGTCCAGTCCCGGCTACAGCTTCATCCACAGAGATCACTGCACTTCAGTTCAAGCGTGTGAAACTTTGTGAAAGCCGAGACGTAAATGGAAAGAAACAGAATAAACCAGAGGTGTGGTCGGGATGTCAAGTCTATGTTAGTTGTATTTTGAATAAATCATCTAATGCTTTTCCGATTGTGGTGCGATTTTCGTTTTCGATATCTTAGTCGTTTCCTCGGCTCCCTCAAATAATTAGTCTTGCGTATCTGTTCTTCATTTATTTGCAGTGAGCAAAGCATTATTGGCGCCCGCGCCTCTGTGATGGTCTACGATGACAACCAGAAAAAGTGGGTGCCATCGGGCAGCTCGTCGGGATTGAGCAAGGTGCAAATCTATCATCACCAGCAGAATAACACATTTCGTGTGGTGGGACGCAAGCTGCAAGACCATGAGGTGGTCATCAACTGCTCTATACTTAAGGGTCTCAAATATAATCAGGCTACGGCTACGTTCCATCAGTGGCGCGACTCCAAGTATGTATACGGTCTTAACTTTTCCAGCCAGAGCGACGCGGAGAACTTTGCTCGGGCCATGATGCATGCTCTGGAGGTAAGTGTCGGGTTCTCTCCTGTTTCTAGTCTTGTTTAACTGAATCATTCTCTCTCTCTCTCTCTCTCTCTCTCTCTCTCTCTCTCTCTCTCCATCGGCTTGTGGCCAGGTGCTGAGTGGTCGCGTAGTCAACAATCCTGCCGGCCAGCCTACAAATGGCAATGGATACGAGGAGGATATGGGCTACCGTACGATGACCAGCGAAGATGCGGCAATTTTGCGACAGAACAACGGTATGGCCGGCCACATAACACCCTCGGCCCAAACGCCAACATCGCAGACAAATCAGAACAACATACCGCAGAGTCCGCCAACGCCGCAGGGACATCATCGCACCAGCAGGTGGGTGTTTGATCACAGTTTCAGGTCCAGGGCACTCATATCATCTACAGTGTTGCCAATTTGACTTTATCTAGCTATATTTAATTGATTTCACAAGTCTCAGCTTAATTTTTAAAGGTATTTAGCCTTTTTTGGCATATCCAAAGTTCGACCAGTTCGAAACATTAAATTCAGCTACTTTTTGTAACGGCAATTGGCAACACTGGTCATCAATCAATCAGTCGACATATCTTTTGATTTCGTTCATTTTTCTTCTCTCTTTCACACACTGACAAAAACACACACATGCTTTCCTGTAACATGCACATCGTTCTGTTTGTTGTCGTCGTACTCGATACTCGATTTTCGATACCTAACACATCATGCTCTCTAACACACACATACATTGAATCGATCTTCGAATCGAACTGCCGAATCATCACAAATTGCTCACAAAAAGGAATTCCCTTAGCGCACCGCCGGCGCCGCAGCCGCAGCAACAACAGCAATTGGCATCACAGCCGGGCTCGCACTACGGACCCACTTCAAACGGGCCAACGTCCAATGGCCTGCCACAGCAGGGTAATCCACAGATGCAAATTCCTCCTGCACCCGGCCAGACACAGCAGCAACAACAGCAGCAGCAGCAACAACAGCAGCAGCAGCAGCAACAATACCAACAGCAGCAACAGCCCGTCTATAATACGCAGCAACAGCAGCAGCCACAGATGGTGCAAGCGGGATATGCGCCCCCACAGGTAGGTGTGGTCGACTTGGGCTTGTACCGTTCAGCCAGGTCCGCTTAAGGTCCGCCTATGTTGCTACTTTTACCTTTCTGTTTCATTTCATTCCAAACATTCGCACGTCCGCAATTGGCTTGAAATTTCCCCAAAAACTAAACCGAACCGAACCCACTTCCACCAAAACAACCAACACAACCACCACCATCGCTACCGTTACAACCACAACAACCACCCGCCAGCAGTACCAGCAGCCCCATTATGTGCTCTCAAACTCTAATCCCAATCTCAATCTACATCAATACCCGACACAGCCACAGCCACCGATGCCGCCGGTGCATCAGAATGGGGGCGGACCCATATATGGGTCTGCGCAGCCAGCCCACATACCGAGCTCGGCAAGCTCCAATAGCGTCGTGTACACCACTCAGCAGCAGTTGTTACCTCAGCCACCGCTGGCGCCGGGTATGCCCGCTCCTGGGTATGTCCAGCACAATGGCCAGCAGCAGCAGGCGGAGAATCCTTATGGGCAAGTTCCGCTGGCACCACCTATGATGCAGCAACAGGGCGGTGGTGTTCCAATGCCGCCGCCACTTAATCGCATGAGCAGCACAGGCGGCGGTCCAGGACAGGCGGCTGCGCCGGCGCCACCACCACCGCCACCTACATTCGGTGGTGCACCGCCGGCCCCGCCACAGATGTTTAATGGAGCTCCAGCGCCACCGCAGCCGCCGGCACCGCCTGCGCTACCGGCTCAGGGGGGGCCATCATGTGGACCAGGCGGTCCTGGAGCACCACCGCCGCCGCCACCGCCCCCCGTGGGTGCCGGTGCCGCAGGTAAGAAGGATGATCCGCAAGCCGATCTTATGGGCTCGTTGGCCTCGCAGCTGCAGCAGTTTAAACTAAAAAAGAACAAGGTAAGGAAGAGCTGACAAATTAAAATGAACCAAATTGCCTAATCGATTTCTCGATTATTTGTTTTAGTCCACGACAGCTGCTCCTGAAAATAGCGGCAGCAGCACCTCAAGCGGCGGCAGCGGTAATTATGGCACCATTGGACGTAGCTCCAATGGCATGGCATCCATGATGGACGAGATGGCCAAGACGCTCGCTCGGCGTCGTGCGCAGGCCGAGAAAAAGGAGGTGAGTTGGGTATATTTAACAATTTCTATATACGGCTATTTATTACTACTTATCAACACTGTGCAGCCCGATCCTGAGCCAGAAGTTAAACAAAGGCCGTGGGAAAAGTCAAATACGTTGCCCCACAAGTTGAGCAGTGGCGGCGGCAGCAACACCACGTCAAGTGCACAAGTCGGAGCCAACGGCAGTGGCGGCAGCGGTAACAACACAACGAACAGCGGTGGCGAATCGCCGCGTCCCATGCGCAAGCGTTTCGGCAGCGCCAGCGAGGAGACCATTCTCAAGGTGAGTTGACTTTTATACAATTTGTAGAACTAACGATAATGACCCTTGTCGCGGTTAGCAGGTCAATGGCGATGGTCTGTCGCTGGCGCTGTCCAACAGCGACCTGGACACCCTGAAAGCTGAGATAGTGCGTGAGATGCGGCTGGAGATACAGAAAGTGAAAAACGAAATCATAGACGGTAAGCTATTTCGACAATCCAGCTTCCTGCGCTTACTTGTCTTCTAAAGCACATTTTCATGCCTTGCAGCTATCAAATCGGAGTTCAATCGTAGATAGATCAAAATAAATATTTAGCCTCAAAGCAGCCTCTATCACTGTCTACTGTTTACTGCCTACACCAAGTATAACAAGAATAAGAACCAGAAACACCAACACTTTACACAAACACTGTCCTAAAAGTGAGCCCGGCTATGGGCGTGTTGTCGTGTCTTCAGCAACCGGCGCACGTGTCACGAACTGAGTTATATTGCATGTAAACAGAAACCGCGTCAAATATTTAAATGTGTAATTTTAAATATTTTAATTGTATTTCATTCATATATTCAAATGGCGCCCAACATAATGGGCATATACAAGCAGCATATACATATATACAAATTTATATATATCTACATACGTATATAGATTTACCACAAATATATATAAATATATATTTATATGTATATTTATATATATATATATAAATATATATAAATCTTATACATATACGAAAGTACGCAATTATGTATCAGCTTTTTACAAGAACAAGAAACTTTAGTCAAAATAATTTTAATTCTAATCGATTTCTAAGTTACGCAAATTTCGTGCGAGGAAAATTTTAGTATGTAATTTTACAACTGTACATTATTTTTACATAAGTATAAAACAATTTAAATGTGAACAAGAAATGCATTGTATACATTTGTTCTGTGTTTACCCTGCGTATTTTGTCGCCCTCTAACCTCCTAGCCGATGAGGAGCACTTATTTGAAATGCATTTCATTTTCGCTTTTCTTAAATACCAAAAACAAAAAATCAAAAACTCGTAAATAATAACATATAAACATAAGCCAAAAATAAACCTATACAAGAAAAGAAAGAAACAAAACATTTTTAACAAGCATCTATCTATTCTACATATAAGTATATCACACACTGTCTCACACACATACACATACACGAATGCATACAAGTTTAGATATACGCGTTGTAAGGCAGTATAGTATTACGAAAAGACGATTGCAAATTTAAGAGTCGCAATCCCATAGATGCGTCATGGGATCATCAATTTAATCAAAACACAGAATAACGTCGATGCATTTGATAACTCTTCAACATTTCCCCAGTTGACAACTGACATGAAAACAAAACACTTTCCTAAGTCACGATCTCATTAAAACAAACACAAGAAATATTGATAAAACCCGAAATATACCTTAAAAACCACAAGTAAAAAGTCTTCAAAACATTTCAAAGTGGAATTGAGTGTAGTGTTCAGCACTTTTGAAAGCATTAGCGTTATATACATACAATATCTACCATTAGCAAACAGATAATGATAATCTATAAACGCTCAACTATTATCGAATTACAGAGAAGGCGAAAATAAAATTCCAAATCAAGAGCAAATACAACAAATTGACTGCTGCATTAAAATAAACATAAAACATGATTAAATACCAAGTAGCCAGTAAATTGATACACCTCTTCTCCTCCATTAGAGACCCAAATTGTTTTCCTAGTTGATCCTGAACACATTGAGTACCAATTTCAACTTCCATATACAATTAAGACTAAATAGTGAAATTTATACAACTTGAATATGAGACGTAAGCAAACATACGAATATTGAAATCGTTGGAGATGAGTTTAGTTCTTAGGACTGAACCCATAACGAAGTGAAATTGTTTATTAAGTGAAACATTTATTTATACAACAATGCGGATGGACATTAATTTTAAATAATAATAATTTTTTATATTGATTGTGTAAGGTCGATTTAGAGATATTTAATCCTAGTTCTATGTGTATATGGGCAATGTATATGAAAATGTTATGATTTTTTGTATTTTTATATATGATCTTTGTATTGGCTGCAACTGCAACAAGTTTAATATTAACACACACACAAAAAAAAAACTATTTTAAAAACAAGATGATGAGGGTGATCAGATCTTGTGCAGTGGTAACCGCATAATTTTATGTATTAAATTAAATATATTATACACTCATATACAAAAAATATTCAATATACAAGCATATTACAAACAAGCCTCGGAAAGTCGACAGCAACAACAGCATTCAAATCTTGACTTGAGATCAAAATAAAAATCAGCAACGGATTCATTTAGACATTTAAGTGGCATAAGTTATAAGCAGATATCGCATCGAAGCGAACGAAATAGAATGCATAATAAGCAAAATTAAAGAACGTAAAATGAAATAAACAAGCGTTTGTATGTAAAAAAAAAAACAAAGTATCAAATTTGACATCATTATATGGGCATTTTTTATATGGGTTTTCACAAAATATTACGGTTTTTCGAGCTATGAAGTTCCCATGCACTACATTAAAGTTTTGTAGCAGCCAGCTTCGAAACGTCAGTCGAAAGCTTTTCAAATAAACTATTAGAGGTGCGCATGCTGCGTTTTGTTACACTGCGGCTAAATTGTTGTTTATCAATTTGAGAAGATAAAACCATTTAGCTGAAAGAACAATTTTTTGCCATTTAACTCGAATAGTTAATATTATTAACTCGCCTGAGAAGTTGATAGATTTTGTGCACAGAACTAGTGACGCGAAAGCACAGATCTAGTTCCGATGGGAACTAGTTATCGTTATCGGACTTCAACTCACAGGCAGTTAGTCTTATTGGACAGCTGAGCGCGAACGGGTGGTACGAACGGAACATTTTTATTCTGAATATTTAAATGCCCAAACTTAAATCTACAGAACTAATCAAAAATAACAATGAAAATGAAAAATGTATACAGCATATATTATGTGGTGCATACGTTACACTCTTTTCCCTAATGGGAACTCAAATATAACTGTGCTTGTGTGCGTGTGCTTGTGCTTGTGTTTGGTGCAAAGTAAAACAGCGGCAAATCTTGTTGCTTGCCCCTAAGGAAGTACCTACAAAACGATGCGAAAGTGAAGAGAAAGAACAAGCAGTAACAACAAGAACCCGTGTTTATCAGTGTGTGCTGCTTGCGGTTGAAATTTGGCAGCTAACGATAAAATATGTAGAAAAGAAATATATGTGTATATATATGCATCTGCTAGCTATATAAGCTATGCGAAATGAAAACTGCAAAAATAAAATACAGTTTGCAGACAGTTTCTACATTTTGTCTGTAAATACCGAAATGCGGTAAACAAACGAGAAGCACCAAACAACTGTTTACATGTACTACACATACATATGTGTATGTATATGCATACGTGTGTGTGTGTGTGAGTGTGTGAGTGTGTGAGTGCATTCAGTTCTCAATGAAGCTGTGCGGTTGCTTTGCTTGTTCCGCTCTAACAACGGTTTAAAGCTCATTTATATATCAAGTTGGCCAAGTGTGTGTGTGTGTGTGTGTGTGTGTGGCTAAAGTGTAGCCCACAAACGTGACGGTCAAAACAAATATTTCTGTATGTGTGTGTGTGTGAGTGTGTGTGTGTAAATAGTCAACATTTCGATCGTAACGCAATCTAATTTGAATTTCGTCCGCCGAACTTATCAGCGCGACATTGACAACACCAACAATATGTTGCAGCAAGATTCGGAAGCCCGTATTATATTTGTTTATTTCAAGCAGAAGCTAAGAAGCTAAGCTGTAATTGGAGGGAATGTGGGACAGAAAAAAGGAAGCTTTTCGAATTAAATTGGTTGACTTTTTGTGTTGGAAAAGGCCAACACGCGCCCGTCTCTAGTTGGCCAAATGCCAGCCAAAGCAACCGATTTCAACCAATTTCAGCTGAAACAAGTGTTTCTCTTTCAGTTAATTTTACGACTTTTGTAAAGTTCATCACACGTCAAGACGCCAACCTCCAAAACAGTCACAATATAATAATACCAATAAGTGCGTTCACCTTGATAATAATACCAATAAGAACAATATAATAATACGAATAAGAATAATAAGATTAATATTAAAAACTATAAAAATGAAAATCGGTTTTGTTACTATTTGATACAAGTTAAACGTAATTACTAAACGACGATATTTTCATATGTTTCGAAAATAAGCGTTAACGTTTTGGCACAGTTAACCGCAGCTGAAAATTGCTACAGAAATTTGTTTTTTTACCAAGTGTAAAAATTAGCGTTTGATCCTGTTAACACGACTTAAAAGCACTACAAAAACATTTTTGCCAAAAGCGTGAGTAGAGAGAAGCTTCAATTTACGCTTATTTTGTGTGCATTCCTTTATCATATTTTCATATATATTAACACACACACACACACACACACACACACACATATATATATATATATATATGCCTTACTGCCACCAACTAACCCACAGATCTTTTATTATTCTATTATTCTATTTATAAGCTTGTTGCAAAAAATTGAACGAATAAACGCGTTTCTAATAATATGTTGTTTTTTCTCCCAAAACCCATGATGAAACACAAAAATTGGAAAATGCGTAAAATCTATACGAATTACAACGCATATCCTGGAAACAATAACAAATTACGCCGCTTTGGATGGAAATGTGAGTAAATGAAGCATAGCGAAGCAACCCCCTAGACAATTTTGTAGTTACCCCATTTTTGGGTTTACTGGGCTCGGCACTTGGGTGTGCATTTGTACCTCGTGTCCATTGAAACTGGTTCACCGGGTATATATGTTGCGCAAACGCATACGTAAATAAGTTCACCTAAGGATACGCTTTTTGGGCAGCAGGATAAGTTTGAGTCGAGCAATTCAAGGGATATCCTTTGGAATGCGTGTGTTATCCCCGTAGACGACCCGATGTCCCCGCTGTCCCCTCTGTCCCCGGAGACCCCTTGCCGTGCCCAACATCAGTTAACAGTGTTCGCACATTCTCGAGGCGCAACCTCGCCCAGTGGCAACAGTGGGTCACGTCATTTGTTGCCAGAGCTCTGCAGTAACTGTCCTTTGTTACACCCCCCTTACAACGCCAACCACCACCCACCACGCACCACCTTCTAGTCAGATAGCCTGCTAACCGAGTTGCATTTACTTGGCCCAACCCCGGGGCAGGGCTGTTGTCTCTCTCAAAAGCTTTTGCTCTTAGCTTTTTGCTCGCTCGCAAGCATCAAATATGTTTTGTTTGTGTTTCTTTTTTGATTGAATCGAAATGTTAATAAATCAATTTCATGCACTGGGGTCATCATCATATGTTGCCTTGACAACCTATTGCGGTCATAACATATGCCCAAAGTTCAAATACGAATTGGATCTAATATTTTAAAATCTGTGGCCTTCCCCAGCAGCCAGCCCCAAACAAATTGGCGCCTCAAATGCGCCCGGAGACGCACCAGCTGTTCGCCAAGCACGTTAGGCTAAAGTCGGCGGGGCTTGGCGAGAGGTCTCAGTTTTGGAGCTAACCTTGTGTCGACAACGAAAATCAATATCAACAAAGAGCTCGAAATCGAAATAAAAAACGAATGAGAACTGTTCATTTCGATGAAGCCCAAATACAGATTTGCAATATATATATTGATGATATAAGAATGATTCAGCTCGTATATATTTAATTGGGAACGTATTTTCAATAGTTTGTTGGGCCGCGTGTCCCAGTACCAAAGGCCTAAGCGTTCTGGTTCTAGACGGACTATACTTTATTTACGTTGAGCTCCGTCCTGGTTGTGTGTTGTCCGAGCTTGGCAATCGATAAAGGGGCCTTTCGAGTCTGAGCCCCAACAGCAAACGAGTTTACACAGGCGTACGAAGTTGTCAGGTCTGTCAACGAAAGCTGTGTGAACTTTGCAGGTGAACTTTGTTCGCAAACGAGCGGCAGAAGCCGCTTTACTTGAACTTTGCCTACACAATAATTGTTAACTCTATAAGCAGACACCGAGTTATACTTGATTTGGTATATCATTTTGAAAGCATATCAGAAAGTGAGGGGACCCTTTTTCTATACCCAATGTTAGCCGAGTGTGGCCTATAGCTACAACTTTGCGCTAACTGTACGTATGCGTAATGCCACAGTCATTTCTAGTTTGCACGTAATGCGCATACGCCACGTAGGCGTCAGAAATTTTCTATTGTCGCGGCGGAAGCTGCGTAATGATGATGACGATGATGGCACACAGAAAAGTGGCTAATTCTATCGGAATTTGAGCTCCGAGCGCCAAGCATGTGTTGCCTTCGTGAGGAAAGGCAGCAGAGTTAAAGGTCGACTTGATTTATATACAAATAAAAACCTGCATGCCGCTAATAACTGACTATTTTAAGAGCTAAATTGAACGGCAATTGATGTTTGCTTTATAACTTTAGCAACCGCCAATCGACGTTAATAACTGCGAAATGCGAAATGCGAAATTTGCCGATAAGAGTTGGAAACCTTTTTCGCATTGAATCACAACTCAAACTTAGAATCAGTCGTACTTGGTGTGAGTGTATTTAAATACACGGAATTCTAATTCTCTACATATAATGTAGGCAACACTCATTTGTTTACGATGACGTCTTATCAATTGGCGCAAAGAATTCATATATATTCGTTGAAATGACATCAGCACGTCTCTCAATCAAAATATATGTTATTGACCCATTGCCAGACAGAAGCTTCGGGCAGTTCAGGCACAGGTCGAATCGCTCCTGCGCTTTGCTCGACCTTCACTGATAAGCGCCCAGATAAGATAGCCAAAGAGTGTCCCATTTCTTTTTTGTGAATGAATGAGCTGGTGGATGGACTTGCGAAGCACTTACCATTCGTATCACGTTCGAGTATTATTGGCAAATCAATTAAAACAAATTACTCAAATTCCAAGCACTACGCGTCTGGCCTTAAAGCTGCCCGCCCGGCTTGGCTGGCTTGGCTGGCTTTGCGTTTAATTAGTTATGCTTTTAAGTAGCAAGGGCTGCAATTAGTTTAATGCATTCCACGCTCAAAGACCTTAAAGAGCAGGTGGCAATCAAGAGCATGGTCTCATTCTCATTAATTAAGTACCGCCCTATTTTCCAACCCGGAGTTTATGACCCTGCTAACGGTTTGGCCTGTAATTCAAACGGAATATAAAAGCCGTCGAACCGGCTCTTGGCAACATGCTGCAGGTCGTCAGACCAAGGTTTGCGCAAGTATGAATATGCAACTTCATCAAATTAAAAATAATCAAATTGATTAAAAACCAATTCGCTTCGCCCTCAAACTCAAGTCTTGTCCCTTTGCCTATCTCTTTTTAAACGATCAAATTCGTTGGGGTTTCTTTATGACTTTGTATATACGTCTAATGATTTGGGAAGATCGGCGCGCATTTGGCTTAACAACAATGAGGAACATTTGTTCATTGTTAGCACTTGTAAATCTCTTGGGGTCTGCCAGCCGCCCCTTGGCAGCAGTTCATGGGGCGACGGCTGCGGCGCCAAGAGAAGGCGTTCGGTATTTTTCTCAGTTGCTTTTTCGCTGTTTTGCCTTTTGTTTTATGCTTAAAAATACCCACGAATACTTGTTGCTCTTGTAATAGCGTCGCCCCGTGCCCCTGTCCCACTCCACTAGCCCAGCGGGGTCAATAGACGCGCTCCGCCAGATGAGCAAGCCGAGCCGCTAAGTCAAAGTCAACGGCGCAGCAAGAATGGCATAAGACCAAGCAGATTTATACACAGCATATACACATATATATATATATATTTATATATCTATCTATATATATATATATATGTATATATAAACAGTTGCTGCGTGCGATCTTCAATCGAGCGCTATTCGCAATTGACACGAAACAGATTCCAGGAGCTAAACAAAACTAGACACAAAGATATCTAGTTGTTATTGTTGTTGTTGTTGTTGTTGCCGATTGTTTTGCTTTCAGCGAGAGCAACAAATGGATAAAATAATGACCAATAGCCAATGGCCTTGCCAAGACAAAGCGAAACGCTGCCAAAATTTAACAACAAGCAAATAGCACTAGCAAATGTTTAAATATTAACTGCGGCGAGTGCCAAACGGTCAAGTGGAATGCATCAATAAGAGGGGAATGCAGGAGGGGGGGGGGGGGGGGGGGGTGGTTCACGCCTCAGTATCAAAATGTGGTTGTTGTTCTTTCAACTCAGGGTGTACAAATATTGGGAAATGCGCCAGGCTGCCCTTTAAATCCGATTAACTAGAAATAATCCCTAATAAATAGAAGCAATTTAATTTGTTGATCCATTCCCTAACTGAAAAATAGGCCGCCTTTGCAGGCGTTTCATAGGTTTTCCTTGGCTCCAAATGTGCCCAAATATCTTACGTCATTTCTTTTTGTGTTTATCTGTCGAATGAGCATTTATATATGTATGTATTTATTTATTTACATACAATAGGCGCAGTCTTTTCTGTTCTTTATTCACTCGCCGAGGGTATTTTAGTTTTTCCGTGCAATTTGTAACGCATTGAACAACCCGTATATGTAAATATACATATTCCTGTTTGTCGAACAAACAGTACGACGAATTTTATAATTCTAAGTGATATTTAGATATGCTTGCTAGAGTCTTAAATATGCGACTCTTTGAAGTTGCCTAGGGTTTTTCTCTTTTGTTACCCGTGCAGAGACATCTCCGAACCCATAAAGTATATATATTCTTGATCAGCGCTGTCCGTCTGCCCGTCTGTCTGTGCCTCTTTCTGTTGCACGCAGTAAATATGCCGGAACCAGCTGGATCGGACCACTATATCATATAGCTGCCATAGGAACGATCGGTCGAAAAGTAGGTTCTTGTATGAAAAACTTTTTTGTTTATCAAGGTATCTTGACCAAACTCGGCATTTATTAGTTTTCATATGCTTCTCATCTATATGCGTAATCCTAACAACATCGGACCATCCTAAGAACAGCTGCCATAGGAACGATCGGTCGAAAATAAAGTTGTTGCATGGAAAACTATTTTCCCTGTGCTTCTTAGATGTCAATATGAGCATAATGAAAAGGTTGGGTCTGCAAGGGTATTCAATCTTCGACGTGCCGAAGATAGCCCCTCTTTCTCGTTCCTTTTTCTTTTGTTTTTTTTTTTTTTGGCATGTTCGCGACCTCAGAAAGTCATGACGTCAATAGTTGCCCGCCTGCTACTCCAGTGAGAGGCGTTCCCCCTCTTTATGCCTCCCTCCCTCACCCACGAGAGAGTGCGACAAGCTCTCTGCGTCGGCGCATAAATGGTTTGTCAACATATTCTCAGATTCTTATTTGAGATACACACGGCAGGGGCCTGCGAATTGTGTTCAGTTTCATTTCGGTTCGGTTTTAGAACATAACGATTTTCATTTGAGTTTTTCTTCGTTTACGCGTATTTATTTATTTTTTATTAATTACTTAACCCAAAAAATACCTAGTTATTTATTTTGTTTAATATAAGTTTTGAAAAGAATTTTTCTGTGGTTTTCCTTGTGTACATTTCTTTGTGAGTGAACAACTTTTTCATATTTCTAACGAAAAATTTAAGTAAAAAGAATCTATAAATAGACACGGGTCTTTTCATGGCTGCCCATAGAGATCTCAGAGATCCCAGAGCCAGTGGTGCTCGTTCTTGTAGATACCGACTATATGTTTCGATATCGAATTCGAAGTTGCAACTCATTCCGTGATTGTTCCGATTTGCAGGCTTAACTGGGATTTTAATGATGCTGACCGCCCCGTGGATCATCGCCATGCGCTGCTGAACAATGGATCTGGCAGATCAAATCGATGACTATATTTGCTCATTCGAGGGACTTGGTGACTTAACAATGGACTCCCTAGCCATATTCATATTCTTGTGGGCCGTGCTGGCCCTCTTCTCCGTTTGGCTGTGCAAGCTGCTCTACCATAAGTATCTCAACAAGGGCGCCTCCCCCAGCGCCAGCAACAGTCGTCAGGGCAGCGTGGCCCCCGGCGGTGCCTTGGGGGCCGGTGGTGCTAAGCTGGAAAAGCGGCTATCTGAGCCACGCGATATGCTGGCCACCAAAAGCAAAGTAGAGGATTTGTCCAAACCACTTACGGCTGGTGGCTCAGCGGGGCGTGGACGTTCCACAGCCTCGCCCATGGGCGGCAGCGGCGCTGCAGCCGGTCCGCGACGTCGTGTGGTGCGTCAGAGTTCTACAGGGCCAGAGAATCGCAAGAAACGCTACGTGCCGCCGCCTTCGAATGTGGTGGGACCAGAAACAGTGAGTGAATCCTACAAAATCGTATGGCTATTTTTACAACTGATGGATTTTTTCTCGCCCAGAGCTCCGTTACGTGGACGAGTCAAGTGTTTCGCTGGCTGTACAGCGATCTGGTTATAGTCAACGAGCTGCTCATGTCCTGGGTGATTGCCATCAACGATACGCTGCGCAAGTCCGTCGAGGAGGTGAGTACATGACATCAGCCCCCCCACCCCAGCTTCGACATCATCAGCAGGCAACACGTCACCTTCGCCCAGTTGTGATGTCATTAGGATATTGGCTCTCAGAGCTGCCGCGTGCATTGAACTCTGTTCTGGTTACGTGGCCTCGACTTTCAACTTGAGAAACTTGGCTGGTTGTTCGGCCGTAACTGGCATGAAAACGCGTTTGAGCAGAGCTTGCGTTGCTTTTTATCGGCTTTTACGCGCCGAAAGCCCGCTCTCTGAACGTAGGCCAAGGTCAGCATTTTATTTACGAGTGTTGTTTCATCATGTTAGTCATTTTCGCAGTTTTATGACTTTTTTGCTGTTGCTCATGCCGTTGCTGTTGCTGTTGCTGTTTCTCGGATCGCGCACCACTTTTTTTTTATAGCTGTCGCTTACGTAATGTCACAGAAAACCTGAAACTGGGGGCCGGCAACAGCCGCCAACAGGTTTCGATTTTGTTGTAAGCGGCTCTAAAATCAGCTCCTTCCGTTGTTGCAGCATGGCGTGGCCGTTGAAGTGGTGCGTGTGCTGCCCGATAGCCCGGCCCCGGGCCTGAACAATATCTTCTGCAACTGCGAGGAGCACAATCCCGCTGAAATGGTAAGCAGTCCTGAAGAATGATTCTCTGTTGCGCCCGATACTAACTGAAGCTTGACTCCCTGAAGCTCATCACTTTCGACTGCGATGCGATGCCCGTGCTGCAGGTGAAGACCTTCCGGCAGAAGTCAGGCAAGGTGGAGACCTCGCATTATAAGGTCACCGTGTCGCGATTCCGTGCACGCATGTCCATACCCATCAACTATAATACGCTTAAGGGTGAGATGCGTGTCGACGGCTATCCGGACGTAAGTGCCCTATATAGATACTATATGCATATTGCTAACCTCCATTGTATATCGCACACAGGTACGCATTGCCATGAACAGCGTGGGCGCCATCAAGGCCATGGATCAGGATGAGCAGCAACTGCAGACTGTCATCGGCGACATACTGACGACGGCGCTGCGTGACACCGTCTATCCGGTGGACTTCTCCATCTACTCGACCTGCCCGCGCGCCGAGGTGGAGCCCTTGGAGCTGCCTGTAATCTATCCCGTGCATTATGACTCGTTGGCGGTGAGCGTGTAGAGCACTGAGAAGCGTGTTGTGTGTTGCGTGTTGCGTGTTTTTGTTGTTGACTGTCTTTTCAGTTGATTTTGGACATACTATTCGTAACCTCTTGCGCTTTACACAGAACTCAACACGGAGACTGTACAGTAATGGCCGATCGCCCGATTTGTCTCCCTAAGCTCCGCACAGACAAGAAACAACACTTCTCATTATTCTTACGCCCCACCATCAGCTCTCTGTCTCACATTTGAACATCTCTCTATTTACCTTGTATCTTCAATAAGTTAGATGTTTCATTGTTCTGTTTATGAAATTCGCCTTTCGTCTATATTCCGTTTAACATGTCATAGAGGTCACGTGTTTCCATAAATCCGTTTGCGTCTAAGTAAAACTTCTCTCTTTTGCGCTCTCTCTTTTCAGGGCAATCAATACTTTCAATATTATTACAATTTCTAAAAATATTTCAACACCTTTTCCCCCTAGTTTCCTTCAATCGCGACTTAAGGCGAATTTCATAAGCTTCAGCTACCCTAAGTTCTCTCTGAGTATTCAATTCTGTTAATTCATTCACTGTCGCTCGCTCATTGCATGCTTGGCCCACACACAGCACAACATGGAACACCTGGGCGCAGGTATTCTGCGCGACTCGCAGCACATGGTGTCCGGCCGGCGTTTGCTGGTGAAGATCGTCAAGGGTGAGGGACTACGGGACGCTCACGAGCCGTATGTTGTCATTGAGATGGACGAGCCAGCGCAGAAAAACCAAACGGGCACTCAGCGCGGCAGCAAGCCTTACTGGGATGAGCACTTCCTCTTGTAAGTCAGCTCATCATTTCTCAGGTGTCCAAACCAATTTGCTGATGTTTTTTCCATTCATCCCTTTCAGCGAACTCTCCCCACAATCTGCTGAAATACTCTTTGAGGTCTACGATCATCCGGTGATTGCATCGGATCCGCCCAAGTTCCTTGGCCTCGGCCTGGTTGGCATCGACGAGCTGGCCGTGGGGCCCGCCTCCACGCAACTGCTGCAATTGCAGCCGCGACCCTACGAAACGCAGCCGGTGTCGGGCGCCATAACCGTGGACTTTGTGTTCATCGAGGGCGCCGAGATTCCGGCCAGCGCGCGTCCCAATCGCCTGAAGGAGGCCCTGCGCCTCAGCACGCCCGCCATCAACGAGCATATACGCAACGGTGCCGACCTGGCCGATGCCGCGGTCCGAGCCCTGCAGGACGGCACACTCTCGGGCACCAGCGGCGGCCAGCCCAGCAAGAGCACCCTGATCATCCACAGTGTGCAGCGGGTAAGTTCTGCGGGGCATGGAGGCACCTGTTCGCTCCTGTTCCATTTCCTGGCCAGTCCTCCTTTTCTTTCTTTGGTTTTATAATTTTCATCTCTTTGGCCGTTTTTTTCATTTCATTTTGTGATCCTGCCCAGAACTCGAGCAATCCAAATGCATTTAAGGTAACTTTTGTTTCCAGTCTCCAGCCGCCCGTCTCAAGATTCGTTTATTTGAATTTCAATTTTATTAATGAGCCAATCATCCTTCGGATCCATTTTTAACTAATCTGAACTTGTTTCTCGTTCTGTTTTTTGACCGTTTGCCTAACCCCGCGCTTTTCTAACCATGCAACAACACAAAACACACGCGCTCGCCAGGTCGAGCTGAACAAAGATGGCCAGATCGAGGTCGTCGAATCTCCCACTGAGCTCGACCAGGTTGTTGCCCAGGCCTTCGAGCGTGCCGCCACCGAGGCGGCCAACATGGCCAGCGCCGCCTCGGCCGACCTGGTAGATAGCCCGGCCAGCGAATCCGCAAACACGACAGGTAACAATAACTCCAACGAGGAAAGCACAGCCGAGGTGAGTACTAACTAGGTTGCACGGCGTTCAGATTAGTTTCGTATGCAAGCATGGCATGCAGTTTTTCTTTTGAATACTTGTGGAGCTCAGTTCTAAGCTCGGTTTCCGTTGCTTGCAGTTTGGCCAGCCAAATGCCGCCTCCTCGCCGAACGGCAGCGGCTACACACAGCACAATAACTACAGCCTAAATGGAACCAGCAATCTCGCCGCTCCGGCCGGAGCCAATGGTAGCGGCAACTCGAACAGCCTGCCCAGAAATGGCGGCAGTTCGGCGTATGCGGGCCTGCAACAGCCGTCGGGCCAGGAGCTGGACGGCCGTGGGCGCAGCAAAAAACGTAATTTCTTTGGCACCCTCAAGAAGCGGCTCAGCCGCTCCAAAACACGCACCCTCTCGGCTGATCAGCCCAATAACAACCATAATTCACAATCAGCCACCAATTCCGCCAATACAACAACAGCCACAGGACTCACAAGAACAGCCACAGGAACCCTTAATGGTGAATCTTCCCGTTCATTATCTGTCGATCGTGCCACTCTGTCTAAAAGCAACTCACTTGGTAATTACCCAAAATTCATTTGCACCTCCACTAAACACACAACCGCACACCATTTCTATAATTTACATATTCAAAAAACACTTTTAAAATTTGCACAAAAGCATGTACCTCAAACACATAATTAAAACGAAAATCTACAACAAATTTCGGATTGATTGAGTCAAAAACCTATTGAAATCCAAATATATTTATATATTATATATATTTTCTTTTCCAAAATGGAAAATAGATTTCCTGATATTAATGGGAAAAAACGAAAACTTTTTATATAAAAATTCTAATTATGACATAAACTCAAGCAAATTAATTAAAACGAAAATCTACAACAAATTTCGGATTGATTGAGTCAAAGAAATTGAACCATTTCAGAAACTGTTAAAATACAAAATATAAAATGATATTTTTTTTAATATTTATTTTTTTTTATTGCAAAATTCAATTTAAATGCGCTCAAGCCTGAAAATCAGTTCAGTTCAGGTTAAGTTATAAAAGTAAGCTATAATTTCTGGCAAGTTGAACTGATTCTTAAGGCAATGCATCGCATCATATCATAATCATTTCGCGTCATAATTAATATATAATACTAATTATATATATATATATAACTGTCATATATATGTAACTATGCGCATTATATGCAATGTTAGGCACATTTAAATCTAGTTCCATTTCGAGTCCTTTATATGTACATATATGACATTTGTGTTATGTCCTTAACTTTGGTATTCTTGATTCTACTCTTTCTCCATTTCAACGCTAACCCAACTGTTTCCTGCACGTATATGAATCTGTATGTAACTTTTCTTGAAATATTCTCTATCTATCTAATATTTGTATATTAAACACTCCACACTCACACACACCTACACACACCCTCATGGACACGAAATTTATGAAATATTTAAATTAAAATTGTTCTGTATAATTTAATACACTGCGCTTATATTTGGTTTCCTTTTATTTATATTTATTTTCATATGTTAAACCACTTTTGCGCCACAATTTGATTGATTCGGGTTTTTGGTGTGTATGTCGCTATGGCTGTGGATGTAATCTATGCATCTATGCAACACTTATATTTATATCCAATTCAACAATATAACTACACTTCACAACAAAAATCATGCAAATGAAGGACCCCGCATGGGAATTGGCTCATCCATCACCGACCACTCACGACGCTCTTCAATTTCAGAATCCTCAGCCATCTCGGGCTTCTCCTCGGCCAGCAACAAAACCTATGTCCATGAGGCATCCACATTGGTCCTAGAAACCGTGGAGAATGGCATTAAGCGGTTAGTAACTGATTTCATTTGTTCACTCAGTCACTTTTTAATCTTTTACTATTATTAATTTTTCCTGCTGCAGACACTTTATTGTGCCGCTGGCCATTGCACAAAGGCCCCGCTGGCGTCGCAAGGGCACCAAGCTGCACATCTACAATGACCACACGTTCATTGCCAAGCATTTGAGCGGGTATGTGAGAGTCGCCCTCTCCTCTGACAGACTATGCATATATACATATATAAATATATTTCGATTTGCAGCAGCGGCCTGCAGTGCTCGATCTGCATGAAGTCCATACCCCGGCGGCCGGGCAAGCAGGGCTACGAGTGCCGCGACTGCCAGCTGATCTGTCACAAGCAATGCCACATACGGGCCCCACAGGCGTGCCCCAATCCCACTGTGCTCTCCATGGAACTGTAAGTCGATCAACTAGCGGGAGTCCAGCTATGCTTAGTTCTGTATAACTCGCTTCCCTTCGATTCACTTTATATTTTATACGGTGGTCGGCCCTAATAATTGAAGGACTAATTTATTGTTTCTGTTTTTATTTTTCTCTTTTTTTAAAAACACATCTACACACACACACACACACCCGCTCCCCCCTGCTCTATGCCACAACCTAGGGCCTCATATCCGGTACTCACAGAGCGAGATTTGAATATAGTTAACTGAACCAAAATACTCACACTTAAATATCCAATACAATATTTGTTTTAATATTCTATTGTAATGTCTGCTAAATACTGTTCAATATTTATTATACGCAAAACATTTTTCTGTTTGAGCTTCTCAAAGTTGCGATTGGCGTCAGGATTCGAAATTATTTGGCATTATTTATTTATTTCTATCCTTTGCTGTTCTTGCTGTAAAATAATGTAAAACCTCGAGTGTTTGCACGTCTTAACAAATATATATGGGGTATCCTTTAAAATGTGTCGTATATTTAAATGCTTTCACCATCTATCTATCTATCTATCTATCTATCTATCTATCTATCTATCTGTCTATCTATCATCTACTCCATGATTATTTCATACAGATTTCTAACATAATTTGATGTTTTTCTATTTCACAAAACAATACACACACACACACACACATATACAACTCACAACAACTAAAACCTTGGACACAGGATGCCTTGTGATCAGTAAATATAAGAGCACAATATAAATTTGATATTTTTCAAAGAGTTTAAGGTAACAACAAGAGTTTATATGCAAGTTTTCGTAATTTTGACGCCAAGAGCAAAATATGCTAGACAAAAATATTCAGAGAGAGAGAAAGAGAGAGAGAGAGAGAGGGAGAAAGCAGAGAGTTTTAGGATCACGTCCGGTTCCGCTCAACGCAACATTTCAGCTTTTTCTGAACTTCCGTTTTCTAACGTAGGACAATGGGTAAGCTTCTCAGCACCTTAAAGTTCCATTAAACTTCCTTGTTCACCTAATTGTTAAACAAAAATTAACACGTTACTCGCTCGGAAATCGAATTGAAAGTTGTTCTACTGAAAAGCATGATAGCTAAGAAAAATTTAATTATCTTTTCTCTAATTCGTATCCTTTAGCTGCCGCCTGAAATCCGTTTTGTTGTTGTTTATGTATTTATATCATTAATTTTGTTGTTCTAAATTACCCATATTTTGTTCAGTTTTCGCTAATGGTTCCCATTCTTCCTTTCACAGAACGAAACTGAACTCAGCTGCTGCGGATCGTAGCATTAGGAAATTGTGAAAATCTACAATGCACCGATATGAATCGAAATAGTAATTTTAAATAGTTTGCAATTTATACACTAAACGAAAAGAAGTCATCTAGATTATTTAAATCTTGAACTCTAAAAAAAATACACTTGCATACATACTTCTTTCTGTATGTATTTGATCCTTATCTCTTTTACTATAATTATGTTATATATTTTTTACACGAGTGCAATACTTTGGTTTCATTTAAACTATTTTTTTTTTTACTGAATTTCTTAGCATTAACAAAAAGAGAGCCAATGAACATGTTTATATTTACCATCACGAATAATAATTGTACAAAATTGAAAACATTTTTAAATAAAAATCAATGGTAAAAAGTAGATTGCATCTGTTTTTGAATGTGCCGCTTGAGTGGCCACACTCAGCATGTGAGTTAGTTGGCAGCCCTGACTGAACAGCTGCTTGGCCAAAATCGATTATTTAGCAAGCAGGTCTGTAAATATCGCATAAATATATATCGATTGCCATTAACATTATGTTTGGCTACAACAGTAGCTCTGTTAGCAGATTCAGAAATATGCATCAGCCGAGCAACATTTCTAAAAGCTCATTATTAACAGTTTAGGTAGTATTTATTGCTAAATATTTTATATGTAAATGCTACAAGTAATATGTGAATGTGAAACAGACACCAAAGTTTTGTAAATTGAAAATACTTCACAAGCAACACTACTCACGCAGCAACATGTGCCCCAACACTACTCACAACTTGGGCAACATTTATCGTAAATGTTGTTTAACAGCGCCATTTGAGTACAAAAAACCTGGTTAAAAAATGTAGGTGCGCGCATTGTATTTGTATTTGTTCTTGCGCTGCACTCGTCGGTCGGTTGGTCGCGTGTGTTATATATATATATATGTGTGTGTGTGCGTGTTTTTATAGTGCGTAAAAATTATTAATTAAATAGATATAAAAAAAAAATAATCAAGTAAGCACGTGTGGAATGAAGTGAATTTGTCGCAAAGCACTTAGCAGCTAACGCCAGCAACAACAAATATCGCGTGCGTCTTGCAAGTGCCCAACAGAACAACAGACACGCCTCGCGACGCGACATGGAATCAAAATCATACGGACGAAAAACAGCACAAAGCTGAAGAGAAGCAGCCGCAGTAGCTTTGCTGTCGTCGTCGCCGTCGCCGTCGCCTTTGCTTTTGCCTTGTTTCGTGTTGTTGTCGTGTCGTATGAGTGTGCGTATATGTGTGTGTCTGCCTGTTTATGTGTATGTTTGCCAACGCCGCCGTGTCTGTCGCGTATGTGAGTGCGATATATTTCCAATTGGCATCTGTTTATACTGATATACATTTAGTGTATAAAATAATAAAACTACACATAAAACAATACTCAAAAGCGGCCAAAAAATATTAAAAATAATCAAATCAAATTAAAAACTAAGCGAACTTTTTTGTCGTTGATGCCGCCGTCGCTGCTACCACTTGTTTTTCCACTTTTGCGACCGCGACGCCGATGTCGACGCCTCTGCCGCCGCTCTCGCTTTCTCTCACATTGCAACGCCAACGCCAACGCTAACGCCGTCGCGTTTATCATTATTTTTGGCTGTTGTTGTTATTGTTGGCGTGTTCGCTTTAATTTCGCTTCGATTCTCTTCAATTTCGTTTGTTACGAGTATTTCGTGATTATTTCTGCGTTCAAAGAGATACGCGAATGTGATGTCCACTTTGTCGTTGTTGTTGTTGTTGTCGTTTGTGTGTATTTGTGCAAGAGCTAATTTTCGATATTAATTCAAATTTCAGTTCTATAAATACGCAAATAGTTAACGTTACGCAACTTTGCAAATAAATTGCTTAACATTTAACTTCCAAGAAGTTTTCCAATATTTGAGCGGTGCCAACGGCCCCCAACAACAATGCAACAACTTAATCAAATTTACGATATTTGAAACTAACACAAAACAGCGGCCAGAATATTTAACAGCAGCGCGCAGCAGCAGCAGCAGCGGTAGCAGCCGCGAAAAGAAGAACAAAACAATAGATAGAGCAGAGCCCAGCAACAAACAACAGGCAGGCAGAGCCGCTTAGTAAATTCGCTCTCGTCATGGCCGCTTCACACAGTCACCACAACGCCAATTTGCTCAGCTCGGACATATCCCGGCGCAATCCGCAGGACGAATACGAGCTCATACAGAAAATTGGCTCTGGCACCTATGGCGACGTTTACAAGGTAAGTTTTTCTCATTCTTTCCAAGCTTCGCTTAGTGCTGCCAATTTGACTGTTCTAACGCTGAACCACACCCACACAGTCAAACGCGCACATGCTTAAGGGCACACACGTACACTGAATAAGCGCCACTTTGTTCAAAAGAATGAATTCCTCTCTCTCTCTCTCTCACACACACACACACAGACAGCAAACAAATGAAAGCATGCTTGCGATTTAAAATGCATGTATTTATGTATGTGTATATGAATGTGCATGTGTGTGTAAACTCCACTACTTTTGTTTTGCTTTGCATTCCTGCTGCATTCACTGCTGCCTGCGCTGCTGCTGCGTCTGCATGAATGCACGTGCAGCAGCAGGCGCTATGGTATCTCTCGCGTCCCCCTATCCATGCTTATTTGTACATCTGCTTGCTTCGCATAGCTCCAGTGCTCCACTGCTCCACTCCCGTTCCTTCTGGCACCACTTGCAAATATGTAAGTTTAAGTCAAAATATGCGCATTTTTTTCTGGTTCTTTTTATTGTTGCTTATTTTTGGTGTTCGTCGACATCGACGCTGCACAAAATATGACAAATGCTGCTCCCAAGGCGAGCTGCTCTTGCACTTTAAATTGAAAGAGTACAGGGGACACACACACACACGTATAAGGGGTGTGGCCATATTGCATTTGTGGCGTAGGCCGCGCGTAATCCGCGCCAAGCGCATCGTATTCTAATTGAAATTAGAATTTTCTTGAATAGTTTCGCTCCCCACTTTTCCTTTGACCGTTGGAGCCACGCGCTCGCATTGATTATGCGGATTAATTTCAATGTGGATATATACATACATACGTACGTATGTGTGTATATATATGTTTACCCATCTGCCTTGCATTGTGTACTCAAATGTGTAAGTATTTATTTGTGTCTGAGTATTAATGTGGGTGTGTGTGCGGGTTGCATTTGCCTGCTGTGTTTTGCATGCGTCATGTGCCAAAGCCAAACGCGCATGGCTCCAATGGTCGCCAGCGTTTTCCAGTCTTGACACATTTATTTATTTCCACATGCGGAATTTGCTGTGCTCATACTGGAATTTATGATGCCCCCCTCTCTCTCTCTCTCTGTCTGTCTGTCTGCCTGCCTGTCTATGGTATTTAACTCAGTCTTTGCTCTGGTCTCTCTGTATTCCTTTCTGTGTTTATAGGCAGATGTTCGGCAAGCGTTGTATCATTTGGAAAAACGTATGTTTTCTGTTTTCTGTTTTGAGTTTTTATTGTTTATAGCAAGTTTTAAAACAACTTACACAAAGATGTTCTTGGCAATTGATATGTACGTTTGTGTGTAAACATGACAGTCAGTTACATACATATACTCTGCCATGTTAAATTTAATTCGCAGTCGACCTGAACACAAATACGTTCAATTCAAAATATATTTTATTTTATTTTTTATCAAAATATTTGAGTTTTACGCTTTTGCGGCATTTTAAAATGACCGCCATTCGATTAATGAACTAATGAAAAATCGTCGTCATTATCAAAGACTGCTTTTGTTTGTTTGTTTGTTTCTTTCTTTATTTGTTTGTGCTTATTGCAATCTATATTGCCTGCTCACAGTCTCAATTTTCAGGCATCGACAGAAACAACTGAAATGAGAGTACACATGTTTCAATTTTCCATTTTCATTCATATAAATTGCCATTAGTCGGACAATGGGCGAAGTTAATGCTATGGCAACCAGAAAAACCCTGCCCACCCCAAAACAGAGTAAGCAAGCAAAGGGGGAGGCGAGGGGACATTTCATTATCGAAGCAAAATGGGGAAGGCGCAAACAAAGTATACTTTAAGGCGTGAAGACTGCTGATAGCGAAAGGAAACTGAAGTTGGAACAGGAAAAACAATAAGAAGAAGTGGTAGCAAGTGGCTGCTACAGTAATGTAATGAAATATGGCACCACAAACACACACAAACACACACACACACACACACACACACACACACACACACACACACACACACACACACACACACACACACACACACACACACACACACACACACACACACACAAGTTGATTGCCTTAGCCAGGCACTTGATTTCGCACATTGTTGCCATTGTTGTTGCTTTTGTTTTTCTGCTACACATTTTTACAATCAGCGTCGTCATTGTTGAGTTTGTTGTTGTTGTATGGGGTTTGCTGAAATACCCTGTGTCTCTGTTGAAAAGAGTGAGACTGTGTAAATGTGTGTTATGGCAACACAAAACAAAGAAACCCAATCCGAGCCTATAATTCTCAATTCTTCATCTGTTCTAACAGCCGAATTCATTTAACCATCTCCCATTTCTGTGCGCCTAAGCAAATTAAGCATATATAAGGTATCCGCCAGTCAGTCACGGGCAACTAAAGTATTATTGTTGGTTTTATGCCGTATGCAACACGCATGAAAACATGAAAAAATTGGCGCAAACCACTCAACGAGAGAGTAAGTGAGAGGAGGCTTGGTTAAGGGGGGCTGGGGGTACGCGGAAAATGCGAAAATTACTAGAGAAAAGAACGAAGTGTTATGAATTGAAGCCGAGCAGAGACGTCGTCTGCACGGAGTGAAGGAAGGACTACTAGATTAGAAGGCGAGTCACGTAACATTACCGTTTGTGTGTGTGTGTGTGTGTGGTGTATGTGTGGTGTGGTTGTGTTTGTGTTTGTGACCCACAGACACATACAAATGCACTTGTTTTGATGCAACCACATTGTCTTTCCAGTACAAGACGATATCCAACCCCTTTAACAGTTCCTTTTCGTGTCCTAAAACTAAGAATTAATATTGCAAATACAACTTTATCAAGCTACATACACTTTGAGTCCCCTCATTTGGGGCTGAAATCGGGAAAAAACAGAATCCCATTTTCTCGGTGGTTATGAAAACAAACAAATGCCAAACGCTTCGTGTGGAACCATCGCAAAAATCTCTTCGATATATGCTATATGCTAATGAGAGCCCAGCCCCAATCGAATCCGGCGCTAGGTTTAAATATTTAATGAAAAATCCTAGAAAAAAACGATAAGCCCAGCCAAAGCGCACAAAAGTAACCCTTGCTTTATTAACAACAACAGCAACAACAATAACAAACAGG